TAGATGTTAATGGGCTGGGTTTTGGTTGAAACCAATCTAAATTAAAATGAATTTGAACAGATTGGATGGTCCGGACATTGAATTGGACTGATCCAAAATATTCATTGGATTGGATTGAACCTAGTCCATTTGTAATGGACTCACATTGGACTAGTTCGAATTGGACCAAATCCATTCCAATTGGCACCCTTATTTGGTGGAGGATATAATGTTCCAAAAATTGAAATTTGGCCCCGGCCACGGTGAATTTTCCTCATGCATTAACCTTTAAGCTTAGTGGGAAAGCAGAGTTGCATTGAAGATGTTGCGGTTTTACCAAATTGTTATAAGTTCAAATTTCATAGAAGTTTTTTATTTTTTGGGTAGAAATTTCAATTCGGTTTGTTCATGAAATACAAAATCAAAGTCACTTTGGGTTCATTTTATTAATAAATATTTTGATATTTTTTGTTTAATGATACCTTTTTTATCTATATTATTATAAAGTAGATATTTGCTTGGTTTTGGTCCATTCATAAAAGTTAAATTTAATATACAATATAAAATTGTATCTTTATCATTTACTTATATACATGTTTATTATGTGCCCTTAAAAAAAAAAAAAAACTATACGATTCATATACTATTGCAATCCAAATTTGAATGGATTAATTACTTATATATACCCAATATACTTAGGAAACTAATTAAATATATCCTGAACTTTTAAAACCTACTTATATATACCTTATGGGATGTCCCCATATAACTATTTATCATATGTTAAAAAAATGTTAAAATTATTTGATAAGTCATTAAATTCTTTTATAATTCCATTTGACCCTTCTTCCTTCTTCTCCTCTCCTAATTGAATGAGCTACCTACAGAGCTATAGCTCCACACTACACCTACAACGGTGCCATTGACAAATAGAGAGACTCTACAGCCTCGTACTGTGTGTACATTCTTGTTAGTGGAACAACACCCCTTCCATGATTGTTGATGCTCAAGGTGCACTCTAAGCATTGTCACCACCATCTCCAACACTGTGTATAAGCTCTACCTTCATTAGGATCTAAATTGTCCAAAAAAAAGCATCACGACCCTCTTCTCTAGCATTTTGACTATCGTTCTGCTCCAAACACTAGTCAGTGGAATTGGTGTTGCCGTCAACAACCCAACTGATGTTGCCATGGTTGATGGTTAGAATGCAAGCTGATGGCCACCTTCCCCTTCCAATGGCACAACTACAAGAGTGTATTTGATGCCATTGCGAGAATGCCGAGAAACAAGACGAATCACAAGTTTGTGAGGCGGATCATCTCTCATGATGAACTACACAATGATCATGACTGCACCATAGGATCAGATCAAGGAATCGATCTTGGACCACAGCTTAATTGATGAGGGATGGGCTTGAGGCCCACGTGATAGCAAGTTTTATGATGGACTTCGTGGCCGTAGTGCGCAAGGGCACTGTAGTCTTACTCCAACACATTAGATTGGGCTCTGGAGACAGTGTGGGCAGATGGATCCATGGCGTTGTACAAGGGATTCATCCCTATGATCTCGAAGCAAGGGCCATTCATAGTGGTGCTGTTCCTAACCTTGGAATAAATACGGAAAGATTCTCAAGGATTTTTAATTTGGAGATACGACGGAGGCATGGATAGATGATGAGGAATCCACCATAATAAAGATGAGGTTAAATATGTTATCGTTGAGTTGTTATGTGATTATATTTTGAAAACTTAATAGTGTTTGAAAATGGCATGTTGTGAAGATTTAATGAATAGTTAGGGATATTTTTATTTTTTACATTTTATATGTTAGATTTAATCTTGAAAAAATCAACATGATACATATAAGTTATTTTTAAAAGTTAAAGGTATATATAAGTAGTTCTCAAATGTATAAGGTATATATAAGTAATTAATCCAATTGGAATCTAATATAAAGGGAAGATTGCATATTAGTACCTTGTACTTTGGGCCTAGTCTATTTTTGGTACATGAACTTCATAACATGCCAATCTAGCATTTGAACTCCCAAAATGTCCCAATTATTTGTATCACATGATGACATGTGCAACTTACAACTTTTGAAAATGTCAAAATTACATTTCAAAATAAGACATTGTTCATCATCTTCTTCCTCAAGAATCAAGATTGAACTAAAGCAACGGTTAATGATAGAAAGCTTGAGGAGAGACTGAGAAGTCCCACGTAGATTTCTTGTTATCCATCTAAGGGCAAGAACAACAAAGATAGATAGAGCAGTAGAGGAGGGGTAAAGAAATGGAAGCAAAATTCATAAGAATATCAACCAATGATTTAGTGGGTGTTTGGCATCGGTGCCATTTTATGAGAAAATCACACCACATAGGCGCCACATTAGAAAAAAAAAGCGGTGCTTCAAAAATGACCTCTTATTTGGTACCATTTTTTTTCCAGAAAAAAATGTTGCTTCAGACCATGCCTTGGAAATCGGGAAAGTGTGGTCTAAAGCAACACCAAATGTGATGTTTTCTTGGAAAACAACTTGTTGTTGCTAGTGGTGCAATGATGTGACATCAATGTGGCATCATCTTGGACGTGGGATAATATGAAAATGTTGAAAATGGTTCTACAACACTGGTACCAAACAAAACCAGTGTTGTTTTCCTAGAAAACACCCTATGTGGCAGAATTGCTTCCAAACAAAAAGTAAGCAGTGTTCTCAGCACTGATGCCAAAAACCTACTTAAAAAATGACCCAAAACCAGAACCATTATGGCCACTGGTTTTCGGGTCGACAATTTGGCCGTTTGATTCGAATAGATAATTCATTATGACAAAAAAAGGGGACTAAAAACCATTGAACGAGTCAACGGTTTGGCCGCTGGGTCAACGGATCATTGACCGATTCAACAATTTTTGGCTAATAACCAGGTTTGGGGTAAAACGGAACCTGTTGCCAAGACAATTCTTGGGTCAAACAATCCGACTGTCTGAGTCAATGGCGGTTCAACAGTACACAGTTTCCATGGCTCGTGGAAATAGAGAGAAGGGGGAAGTTGTATGTCTTATATAACTACAACTTTCATGGACATTTCTTTCCTTCTGGGCCACGTTCACTTTGCAAATAGAGAGAAAGGGGGGAAGTTGTATGTTTTATATAACAATTAGCATTGCATTAGACTCAGCGTTATGATTCTTGAGTCTTAAATGAAACCAAGTTACAATTGTGATGTTTCCAAAATTGGAGCCAAGGGTAGCAAAGTAATTTCCAATGTTCAAGGGTTGTAGGTCCTGCCTGTCAAGAGTGAAAAGACGTTAGAGGCCCCAAGAGTGTTCCTAGGGACTAGGACTCTAATGGTCAAGTTAACTGAAGGCTCAAAGTAACTAAGGTCACTACAAGAGAGTAAGTGATAGCTCAAATATGCATGTTATACTTTTATGGTCAAGTTAACTGAAGGCTCAAAGTAACTAAGGTCACTACAAGAGAGTAAGTGATAGCTCAAATATGCATGTTATACTTTTAAGTGTAGTGTCCCTTTTATAGTCAGAGCCACCTAGGTGATCAACAATGAACAAGAAGTAGCTGTCCTGTAAATTGCGGTCATGTAGAAGGACTCGGAGAGGCGTTAGACGACCACGGCCCCTTAATTAGTGACTCGGGAGTAAATACACCAGGATCGTGTGTATACATTAAATGCTCCGCAACCATCAAGGAGGGGAAGTTACCCCTTTGCTCTTGAGGGACAATCAACTAATAGAAGTTCCCTTAATCAATGCCACGTGTTAGGATCTAGTGAACCCACCAAATATACCTACATCAAAATTGTGTTAAGGGTTTTGTGTTTTAGGACTTTGTTTTGATGGGTATTTGAGTTATAGGGGTGAAGCTTGGCCACCTAGTTGGTCAAAATCCACTATTATGTTATGAGTATCTTTTACCTTCCTCTTCCATGTTTCAATAATCACCAATGGAAACTTTGAGTAAATTCTTTAGTTTTGGATTTTAATTTAATTAATTATGGTTGAAACAAGGTTTTAGGAATGGTACTCCTAGTCTACAACAAAACTTACTTTCTCCAATCCCCCTTTTCCTCTTTGTTTAAAACCTCGATGCATTATCATCATAATTTCCATTTTTTACCTATTTTTTTTAATAGAAATAAACTTGTTGACATGTCTTTCTTCCCCCATTTTTTTGGATTCAGTGGAGATTGTCTGAAAACATGTGAGATAAGGTAACACAGAGTTATGTATTTGCTGAAGCCCTTTTGATTGAAGGAAGCTAATCATATAAGTTTTCACCCCATCATGCTGCATAAGACAAATGAAAGAGAGCTCAGAGCATCACCTTGTGATCAAATCCCAAATATAGGAATCCATGAATCCAATTTTGGATATCCCAAAGGTCCAGAACCTCATATTACAAACGGTGAACATCACTCTTCAGCTCTTTCAAGGAACAGAGGTATGTTGGAGAGGAAAAAGTGGCCGAAAGGCCGACCAAGGTGATGTTGTTATGCGACCAACTTTCAGGCCCTGTACCATTTCCCATGAGATGATTGTAGCCACTTTAATGGTTGAAGCTTCTAAGTCCACAGCAGATCATGAAACAAGATGAGCAAATTGGTCTTCATATCTGGGCACTTGGATGACTGATAAATAAAATTAAATGACACCCGAAGGCATCTTATCATATGCCACTTAACGACTAAATTGGGATGTTTTGGGAGTTTAGGTGTTGAATTGGCATATTTTGAAATTTGGATACCAAAGTGAGTTCAGGCCCAAAATATAAGAATATTTTGAAAATTTAATGGAGTATTTAAAAATGATATATTTTAAAAATTTAATAAATCCTGTATATGTTGTGGTTAAGATCCGACTCGAATTGAATATAAACATAATCACATTTGGATCCACCTATATCCGACTCCATCCGATCCGTCTGCACTTCGTAAGCACTAAGCACAAACGTGTACGCGTGGTAGAGTAAATTGCGGGTCCGGGCCCGTCACACGACTCACACTGTATTCTTTCTATTTGGTACTTGGTAGGCTTCCATCACACTGTATTCAGTCTGTAATCAGTATTCTTTCTCCTTAAACCCTGCCGGCTAAAACCCTACTGCTACTGCTGCTGCTGCTGCTGAACTCCACCAAAGCAGAAAGCCTAGTTATGACAACCCTCGAAGAAGCAGACGTCGGCATCTACAGTTACATCTCTCAGCTTCCTGGATTTCGTGGCGTTTTGAAACAGAGGTCCCAATCTCCTTCATAAATATATTTTTGTTTTTGCTCATTTTTTTCTCTTTTTAATTTAATTGTTCAACTTTTGTACGAAATTTTATGCCAGGTATTCGGATTTTATCGTGAATGAAGTAGATTCCGATGGAAATGTTGTTCACTTGACCTGCTTGGATGCCCCTCAGGAAGTAATTTTAACTTCTTTTGTTTTCCCATTCTTTGATTTTGCGCGTGCAACGGTTTTCATTTTATTTATATATTTCTTGGCGCTGCAACATTCATTCTGTTCAAATTTCCAGAATGTAGAAGAAAAGCAAATGATAAAGGAAAAGGAAGATTCCGTTCAAAAAGAAAAAAATTATACCTCGGAAATCGAATTATTTCGGGCCCTTGCCGGTGACTCCGACGCTGAATCTCTGAAAGCTTTTGTGAATCAAATCACGTCTGGTGTGGAAAGCGACGTTTCTCCAATTGTTCTCTCTCCGGATTCTGATAAATCCCATCGAACGGCAAGTTTCGACTTCAATCAGTTTCCTCTTGGTTTTCATTTCAGTTGAGTATTACCAACTATTGATTATTTCAAGTTTTTCAGGCAGTCCATAATTTCTTCAAGGAGCATTTCAAGTTCCTTGTAACGGACACGCTTGACGGACCCGATGATACGTCCAAGTGCATTCGCGTTAGGTTATGCTCGGGAGGGCAGCACAGCAATGGCAGAAATTCCAGAAAACGTAAAGATAGGAATGACAAACCCTTTGACAGCAGAGGCTCGAATGATTGGCCTGAGCATGTCGGCAAGTTCCTGAGGTGAATAGCTGAGGCACTCTTTCTTTGTTCCTTCTTAACTTTAATTGTCTCCTATGGTTTGTAAGAGGACACATACAAGCAGGGAATTCGCTAAATAGCCAATTTGTTTTGCTTTTTCTAGCCTATCTCGTTTTGCTACGGATAGTGAGTATTTTTATTTTTCTCTCACTTATTTTGTTGTGAAGAGAACTGAAGAATAGCAGAGAATCATGAACAGCTATTATCATGTTTTTTTTTTTAAATTTTATCAATGTATCATTGGTTCAATCTATTATCATAGATTCCTCAACCACTAAAGGACAAATTGTAGACAGTGCTTTCTGTACAAATACATTGGGTTGTAAGGATGCTAGGCATTGTCCTTTGTGTTTTAAAGCTTCCATGTACCTCCCTTCCATGACAGTAGTAGCTTCGACCTTATTGTTGTAACATACAATGTTAGCAAGTTAGCATTGGCTGTCACTCACTTTCCTTCTGAAAATGCTGAAGGGATTAAAAAAATATTCTATCATTTTAGCAGCATCATTGTATTTGAGTCCTTCCTAGTTCCTACTTTTACCTATTTTTTTGGATAAATGATAAAAAGGTGTTGTATTTGAGTCCTTGTTTTTACTTTTTGCTAATAGCCTGGGATGATTTGGTTATTCATGAAAACCTTCGTATTAAGATGGATAGACAACTTGGTTGTGTGGAAGGAGTGGAGAGCTCCCTCTACATCGATTGGTTTGAAGATGAGGAAGTCGATCGGGCTCCAAACAGAGGAAGAGCTAGAGGTTGAAGGTGAGGGCATTTTTGGAATAATTATTGCTAAAATTGATAGTGGGGTTGATGGGTTGGGGCTGATTGAGTTTCGAGACATTGGGAAGGTGGAGAGGGCTGACTCAAGGGAGAATTTGATAGAGGTATTGGGTAGTGGGGGCCACTTGAATTCGGCTGGAGAAGTAAATAAAGGTGGCCATGTGACTTAGAGACTATTGTAGTGGGAGGGGAGTCGGAGTCTAAAGGACATGTGGTGGACCAAAAACAAAAGGGGTTGGGAGCTGATTAAGGAGTTGAAAAGTTTTCGATGCTATCTTATGAGGAGTGGATTGTTGGTCTAACTGGGGCCCACTTTCAAAAACCCATTGTTTCAAAAGAAAGGAAGCGGGTCAGTGCGTTAGGGCCAAAATGTAATAGGTGGAGTTTGGATTCGTTTAAATGTCCAAAAAGGAGGATGAAACTGTGCAATTCCTCTCCAGTTAGAGCTTAAAGGGGAAAGGAAGATCGGTGGGAGTGGGTGACTTTCACGGTTCCAAAAAGGGAAAAAGGAGGGAGGGTGAGGACAGTGGAGGGGAACACAGGAAGCGATATTGTTTGGAGTCTTGGCATAGGCGAGAATGCACCTGCTTTCTGCGAGCAACTTGTGCCGAAAGCTGGAGGAGTGGCTCTGACCTAGGATGTTGGCACTCCATCTTCAATTTCTCAGATGATTGAAGTTCTCTCTAGTGGCCCCAATGAGGTCAATAAAGAAGAGAAGGTTGGGTTGGAAGAAAGTGAGGAGGAGGTCTGGAAAGGGTTTGCTGTGTCTGACCCAAGAAGCATTTCAGGAAGCAACGATGGAGGAAATGTCGATCCAGACGTGGTTTGCTGCACACCTACCCCAGCTGAGAAAATTGATACCGTTCAACGGCAATGTGAGGAAGTGCTGGATGGTAGTTTTTGTGTGGCTTTGGGAAGGAGGGAGGAGGTTAAGAAAGTTTTAGGGGTGGCGGAAGCGGTGAACATCTTTGAGGAGGTGGTGGTAGTAAAGTTAGGTGTGGACCTAGGAAGAAGGAAGGCGATAGACTCTGTTACTCTGGTTGAAGAGGTTCTCAAAAAACCACATTGTGCTAGGAATTCTCACAATGTTCACATAACTAAGGTATTTTATTGGTTAAAACATGGTTTGGTTGGAGCAGGACCTACAAAAAATTTAAAAAAGGTTTATAAAAGAAGAGGGGGGAAGGTTTTAGCACCATCATATGAAGAGTTTGGGAAGGTGGATTATCGGGCTCTTTTCAGTTCAGACTCTCATGTGGAAAAAGAAAATGAATCAACTGTCAGTTCTGAAGTGAGATATTCTGATAGCAGTCTTGAGGAGCAGAAGGAGGGGCTTAGAGGAGTTCCTATCAAGAAAATTGTTGAGAGAAGTCGAGATTGGTAAAAGTCTTGGCTTCTGTTTCTGGGGATGCGAAGAGTTTGCTAAGGAGGATTTTGAGGAGTTCGAGAGAAATAGGATGGAAGCGAGGCTGAAGAAATTGGAAGTCAAGGAAAGAGGTGAGATGGTGGGATGAAGAATTTGTTGGGGAAGAGGAAAGTATTGAGGAGGAGATGTAAGGACATCGTGTCTGGGTTCTGATTAGGGGTTTTGAGTCTGAAGTGGAATGAAGGTGGTGAATTTGGAGTCATTTTTTTGTTTTGATTGTTTTATGTTTTTTTAGGCAGTTCTGGGTGTAAGTTAGTTAGTGCCTGTTTTCCTCTCGAGTGATTTCTTGTCACCTTTCTCATGTAATCTCTTTTTCTTTAATAAATGTTTCTTTATCCTTCAAAAAAAAAAACTTCTTATCACGAGGGAACAATCATTGAGGCTGAGCTAATTGTTTATAATCTATTAACTTCAGATAGACGTTCTGTTTGGCTCTTTTTATTTTTTTTCCATTCAACAATCATAAAGCCACCATAATGGTGGAAAGTTAAATAAAATCAGTGTATGGAGTATAAAAGAGGCAGACTTTGTTTTACATATCTGATTGCACATTTTTGGTATTGCCTTTCCATGCCCATGAACAACCAAAAAGGGACCAAACAATGATCTAAGGTAAGCTATATATTTTTTTGATAAATGAGAATATATTTTATTAATTCTGAAGGTATAAGCATTACAAGCATCCCTTAGAGAGGCACGAGATGCTACCTCTTTATAAACAAAAACAGAACATAAACTATTACAAAAATATTTACAGGTGAGCCCAAAACAAAGATTGTTTATTCACCCCTTGTTTGGCAAGGGTATCAGCTAACCCATTAGCCGATCACCTCACCCTTTCTATCCTCAAGTTCATATCCTTGGTGATTCATAAAACTTTTTTTTTTTATCTCATCCCTGTAACACCATATTACAGAATCTGGATCATTTAACCAACCCACCACCAGTTTTGAGTCCCCTTCAATCACCAAATTGGTTATATTCAATTCATTAGCAATTTGTGCTCCTTGTAAGGCAGCAAGTAGTTCTGCCTTGAGAGAGTCCCCAATCCCCATTGGGCCAGAGAACAAGGCTGCCATCCATGTCTCTCACAACCCCTCCTATACCAGTAGGTCCTGGATTCCTCCTGCTGCTCCCGTCAAAATTCAGCTTCACATAGTTTTCAGGTGGGAGTAGCCATACAGCATTTATCCTTTCCCTTTTGGAAGAACTTCTTGCCATTCCTTCCTAATTTCCCCACAGGTCATCAGGAGAAACTTGAGAAAACAGATCCATAGATTTGATCCAATGAATCACTCTAATCATCACACAATCCCTTATTTGTTTCTTGCTTCTCTCCTTCTTATAGAAAATTCTCATATTCCTCTCTTTCCCAAATAGTCCAAACCAGTGTTTTAAAAGGCGTGGGAGGCGTCCAAGTGAGGCGCCCCCAAAACGCCCTAAGGCGTATGCCAGAGGCGCTGACATCTCTGAGGCGTACACCTCATGCGCCTCATGCACACCTCATGTGAAAAGATAGAAAAAAACAAAAAAAGAAAAAAAAGGAAAGGAAAGAAAGGGAAGGGAAAGAAAGATAAGAAAAAAAAAGAGAAAAAGAAAGAAAAGAAAAGGGAAGGGAAGGAAAGAAAAGATAAGGGGAAAGAAAGTGGGTTGGGGACTAAGTCCCTGGACCCCTTCGGTTGGGCGGTGCCCCCCTTTTCAATGCAGCCCAATGTGTGTGTGTGTGTGTGTTAGGGGATCTTCATTCTTCTTAATACAAAAGATTTTTATTAAAAATAAAGAAAAATAAGATCCTCCTTCCTCTTCTCCCTCCTCCTTCCTCCTCATCCCCTGCCTCTTACGTTTTGAACTATGCCTCCGCCTCTAGGTAGTGGAACGCCTTGTGTCATGCCTCCGCACTTTAAAACATTGGTCCAAACCAAGGCTGCTCTGACACACCTCCACATTATCCTTCCCTTTTTTTTTGGCCAAGTAAACATAAAAGGATCAAACAACAAATTAGCCTCTGTTGGTAAGGACCACCTGCACCCAAACAATGAAAAAAATCAATTCCATATATATGCAACAAAAGAACAGGAAATCAGTAAATGAGAGCAACTCTCATTATAAGATCTGCACAAGACACACCTGTTAGGAGAGAGACATAAATTGGGTTTCCTCTTCTATAGCAATTCCAAGGTATTAATTTTTCCATGAATTACTTCCCAACAAAAAAACTCTTATTTTAGGGGTAATGGGTTTGCACCAGTACTCTTTCAAGGCGAACAGAGGAGAGGGGGAATAATTACAGAGAGACTTGAAGAAGGAGGCACATGAAAACAGATCCTTAGGTTGAGGGGCCCGAATATGCTTGTTTGAGTTATCAGGATCAAGGCACACATTTTGAACTAATTGAAGCAACTCTGTACAAGCCCTCAACTCCCTTAACCCTCTACGAAAGCCGAAGTCTCAATTATGGTCCATTGGGAGAAATGGGGGAGCAATGAATTTGGCAATACATTCATTTTTGTACAAGGAAATCGAGTATAAAAAATGGGAAGAGATCCTTCAACGGGTAAGACCCGATCCAGATGTCCTCCCAGAATTTAATAGTATCCCTTGAACAAGCATCATACCTGACAAACTGGAGGAAAGTGAGCAGAATATGATGAATTGCCTTCCACGGAGATTCTAACGTAGCCTTGTTGGAGACACTTGCATCCCAACCATTTCCCAACCTTCCATATATACTGGCTATTACTTTACGCCAGAGTCTATCCCGTTCCCATAGCCACCT